TGGCCACACCGACTGACACTCGCCTTTCCCCTCATAGCGCCAGCCCTGCAGGTAAACTGAGGCCGGGCGGGAGCAGGGCAGAGGCAGGACTGGCCCAGCCTGTTGCTCCCAGACCCCAGTCCTCCGGCCGGCTCAGCCCGGCCTCCTGTCCCCGTCCCTGAGGACAGGACGCCCTCGGAGGGTTTGAGACCTGAGCAGACGCTGAACCGCACAAGCGCAGGAGGCCGGGCTTCCTCGTGGCTCCTCGCGGGCACGGGGGGCGCGTTTGTTCTGGAAATGATGTGCGGGGGGTTGTTTGCCAGAATAACTCCGTCTTTGTCCCGATGCTGTGCCTGTCGTGGTGGCCCGACGCCCACGGGGGTCCACCAGGCCACACGGGGCCTGTCCCTCCCCCAGAGGAGACCATCTGCAGAGAGAGAAACTGAGGACAGAGCAGGAAGAGTGGGCTGCGGGGCAGGGGAGCAGGGCCGCGCCCTCTCCATCCTCCTTATCGCCTCCTGCCTCAGCCACCACGTCCAGGCCCCGGCCACGAGCATGGGGCTCTGCTTCAGATCCCACCTGTCCACTGTGTACCTCGGGCTGGTTGCTCAATCTCTCTGAGCCTCAGTTTCTCCCCCACACACGGGGGGACCATGGGGAGGAATCCCTGTGATTGTGCAAGGCGCTCAGCGAAGGCTCGCTGGCGGTGGGCTGGGGGTCATGTTAGGACTGGGCACTCAGGGTAGGTGGCCACCCCCCAGGCTCCAGCCGGGGGGACAGAGGCCAGGGTGGGTAGAGCTCAAGGACTGGCCAGGACCTGGCGGGAGCTGGCGTCACTGTGCCCCGCTCGCCACAGCTCCCTGGAGCTGGGGAGGCGGAAATGGGGGCACCAGTCACAGGAGGCTGCGGGGAGGCCCCTCCACCTGGGAGCCCCCCTGACTGGCCCACGCAGAGGCAGTGCCTCCCTGGTCCCTGCTCTGGGGTCCACACAGGGTTTGTGACTGAGTGAGCACCAAGCCGCGAGTCCAGAGGCCTGGGTTCCAGTCCCACCTCCAGCCTGAGCTCGGCGTGTGGCTTGGTGCTCCTGGGCCTCCCTGAGCCCCAGGTTTGCTGTCGTGTCGTTGGGAGCTGACCGTCGCCGCAGCCACCACATCTGGTCCTCCGGCAGTGACAGAGGCTGTGTGAAAATAACTATCTCCCTGCCCGTCACTCTCCCTCAGCTCCCACCCCCAGCTGGGCGGCCCACAGCCCCTTGCCCTTGCTCATTCACACTTTCATTCATTCTTAGCCTCACGAGGTACCCAGTCTTCCAGGAGTAGATGGCTCCACCCACCTCCACTTTGCTGATGCAATTTTACTTCTGGTTGGGAGAGGGTTTCTCTTAGGTGCAACTGGCCTTAAATACCTGCTTGACCCCATTTCAGACATGCGAGGAGTTGGGCAGGAAGCGGGAGCTGGAAATAGGTTATCTGAGCAGATGGATGTTAAACATCAGCAGGGCCACTTTGGACAGTTGCACAGCTTGTGCACTGCACAAGGGCACTGGATGAGCTGGGGCTGAGATGCAGGTACCTGCCATGGCCCTGCATCTGCTCGCAGGGGGCGCCCTTTCTAAGGCACAGCCCCTCAGAAACAGCCTCCTCTGGACCAGGGAGGAAGGTTGTCATGGTGACCACGGCCGGGTCCGCAGCCCAGATCCCTCAGTTCCCGGGCCTCGCCACCTTTCCCAGGCCTCACCCAGTCCCCAGCAAGCCTTGAGTGGTGGGTTTTGCCCCCGGGCATGTGGAACGGCTGCTTTTATCAGGAGCCAGCCCTCTTTCTGGTGGCGCGTGATACTCAGAAGATGGAGCAGCTGCCTTGGGAAACACCAGCCACGCTGTTATCTGGGAGGCTCTGCCCACCAGCCCTGGTGCTCCGATTAGGGAGCATGGCCGTTTGCCTGTGTGCCCGCGCGGGCGGGGGGGCGGTGGCACATGGCTCTGCCCCCTTCCTCTGTCGCCATGAGGGCTGGGGGCGAGCTAGAGGCAGGGCTCCAGGAGAGGGACCTCAGGACCCACAGGTGTGACCAGCCGGGTCAGACAGGACGCCTGGCGCCACCCCCACTCCTCCTTGCTCATGGGGTGACCTGGGCCTGCCCCCCTCAAGCTGTGTCCCCGAGTCTGGGTGGGACTCAGCCACACGTGGGAAGACTAAGCTGAGTTCCAGGTCACTCCTCCCACAGGAAGGCGGGTGCCGCCCTCGGAGGGAAGGCCGCATCTCCTCCTGGGAGCTCCGTGCCCGGCAGGGTCAGGAACGGGCTCCTTCCCGCATGTCCTGAGACCAGGGAGTCATGGCCACCGTCCCTGTCCGTCTGTGGCCCCAGCAGAAGGACGAAAGCGCAGAGAGGCGTGTGGGGTCCCCGTCCAGGGGCTCGGTGCCGCCAGTGCCGTGCGACTCAGAGCATGGCTGCTTGTCAGATGGGGCGGGCCGCGGCGTTAGGGTTCCGGATGACTCCCCCTTGACCCCACTGCCCTGGGGAGGGGGGACGGGGTGCACAGCTCGGTCCAGGGTGGGCTTCCCCAGCCTCAGAGCTTGGACCCATTGGATGGCTGGACAGACAGACAACAGACGAATGAGGGCCCAGTGAGCTGGCCTTTTAGACGGCCTCTTCCTGCCTCCTCAGTGCCCTCACACACGCCCACCGCCTGAGGGCCAGCCAGCTGGGGGACCAGAGACCCAGATGGCCGAGGACACGAGCAGCCGGGACCTCAGCTATGTGTCTGGAGCCAAGCAGCCTAGGTTTGGATCCTGGCGTCCACTGCCAGCTGCCTGGCCTCTCGAGCCCTCGGTGTCCTGGCGCATCCGGGGGCCTAGGAAAGGGCCGACCCCAGAGGGCCGTCTGAGCGGGAGTGATGCCGGCCGGGCGGCCCTCTGTCCCTGATGATGGCCCGGCTCTCACTCGGCCTCTCAGAGCCCAGCCCGGCAGGGCCAGGGGACGGGGTGGCCATGGGCATGGCCCTGGGCGGGACCCAGGCGTCCCAGGTGGGCTGACAGGACACAGCCCCTCGTGGGCGGGCCGCAAAGTGACAGAGTCGGCCTCTGCCCCCTCTCGGCGGGCTGATAAGGGGCGCCAGCCTCCGCGGCCTCGTCCTGGTCCCCTGCCATCTTATCTGCCCCTGGGAAGACAAGGACCCAGTTAGAACGTTTTAGCCGGGCCTCCTGGCGTATTTACGCCTTATCTCTGCCATTAGGCCGGCAGTTATCTGATAATCAGGCCCATTAAGGCCACAGCCTGCCCAATCGGGGCTCCAGGAAGTGGGGCCGCCGCAGCACTCGCTCAGGGACGGGCCAGGCCACGTGGGGCCTTCGTGGGCCCCGGCAGCGGGGTGGCACCTGAGGCTCCAGGTGGTGGGCAGAGAGTGTACAGCCGGGGAGGGACCGCCCTCTGAGGGCGTGGCCACCATCGTCCCCAGCCCAGTGAGGACACTGAGGCTTGGGGAGGGCTGGCCGTGCCAGGTGTGAGTCTCCCAGGGTGGCCCTGAGAGATTTTCACAAGCTGGGTGCCTTCAGACACTGGAAACCTGTTCTCTCCCCGTTCTGGAGCCAGAAGCCCTGGATCCAGGTGTCCCAGGGCTCCCTCCGGACGCCCCGGGGCGGGTCCTTCCTGCCTGTCCAGCCCCTGGCCACATCTCTCCGGCCTCTGCCTCTGCCTGTGCACGGGCTTCTTCCCCGTGTCTTGTCTTCTGAGGACCCTTGTCATGAGATGTGGGGCTCACCGGCTGCCGCAGGATGGTCTCACCTTCAGGTCCTGACTTAGGGCACATTCACAGGTGCCGGTGGCCGTGTCTTTTGGGGCCACTGTTCAGCCCACCTCACAGGATCAGGTGGACCGTGCGGCAAGGCTGGGCCCAGGGTGCCCCCCGTGAGAATGACTGTCACCGGGGCTCACAGCAGATGCTGCCACCCTCACTGTGCCACGGGCACCACGGCCCGGGCTGCGCGACCTGGCGGAGCCCACGCACAGCGAGCGGCAGCCCCCGGCGTGCCACACCCTCAGGGAGACAGGCCATGCGGGGAGGCCACGGCTGGCCACAGGCCTCAGCGAGAGTCAGGGTCCCGACCTTTCCAGAGACTGAGCGGAGGGCTGGGGAGGGTACGTGGGGGCAGCTGCATCCTGGGGTCCCCGCCAGCCCCTGTCCCGGCCTCCCTGCAGGGAGCGGACAGAGCTGACTTCAGCACCACCCAGGCGCAGATTCTGGCTTTGCCGAGGGCCGCGGGGGGCGTTGCGTGACACCATGCCTCGGTTTCCCCCTTGCGGGGCCATGTGCTGAGCCTGCTCAGTGGATTGACTCACATGGTCCTCACACCAACCTGAGGAGGCAGGAAAGGTCGGGGTCCCCATCTCACAGACATGGGAACTGAGGCCCAGCTTTTCCACAGCTGCCCTCACAGGCTCGCTCTGTGGATTTGGGGTTCCAGCCAGTGGGAAGGGGCTGGGGGGCCGTGCAGAGGGGACAGGAGGGTGGTCTCCTCACCATCCTCATCCCTGCTCTCTTCCCGCCCCGACATAAGCAGCAGGTGACCTGGCTGCACGCACGTACCCCAGGCACCAACAGGTCTCCACGCACCTGGGCTGCATGAGGCACACAGCCCGATGCAGCGGCCGCGGTCCCCAGGGCACGCGTGTCCCCAACACAGGAGCTGAGGTCCCCAGGGCACACATGTCCCCAGTGCAGCGGCCATGGTCCCCAGGGCATGTGAGTCCCCGACACAGTGGACGCGGTCCCCGAGCCTCAGGCCCAGCTGCAGGCCCCTCCTTGTCTTGCGTCTGCAGCACATTGGCCCCCAGAACCGGGCACCAGCCACCGTCCCTTGTAACTTAGGCCCAGACCCACAGGGCCGCCCTCCCTCCCCGGCCGCACAGCCCCCTGGCTGCCCCTGGGGGGATAGGGGCTACAGAGGTGGGCTGGACCTGGGCAGGCGGCAGGGCTGGGCAGTCACCGGGGCCAGGCTCCTCACGCCTCTGCTGTCTCTCCCTGCAGACGAGCTGGAGCTGGTGCCGCAGGACGGGCAGAGGTGCGTGCGGGCTCGATGTAGCCTCGCCGAGGGCCTGTCCTGGGGCCCATTCCGCGGGAGCATCCAGAGCAGAGCCTCGTCCCCCGGGCAGGAGGAACCGGTAAGGAACCCCGACCCCTGGCAGCCACCCACCAGCCACTGGGCAGCAGCCAGCTGAGCCAGGCCCGGGTTAGACTCCAGCCCTGGAGCACCTGCCCCTCGAGTGGAGCACATCGGGAGGTGCGGGCCTGCGGAGCAGGGACCCGGAGGGCACAGAGGTGAGCTGCCTGGGAGCTGAAGGAGGGCTTCCTGGAGGAGGAGCTCCTTAAGCTGACCCTTGATGCACGAGTAGAAGTGGGCAAGGCAGAGAAGGGTGTTCAAGAGGAGGAAGCAACAGGAGCCCAGTCTTGGAACTGGACCTGGCCTGTGGCTGGGGTGGCAGGCAGGGACTTCATAGGCGGGGCCGCCGTGGTGCTAAGCAAGGTGGTTTTGGGGCGCCTGGGGACAGCCGCAGCAGAGGGTGAAAGTCACTCTGCTTCCGTTCCTCGGGGTCCTCTGACGACAGGGAGAGGGCACCGTGGTACCCGAGTGTCCTAGATGCTCCTCCAGCCCTGCTGATCTTGCTCTGTCACTCAGGAGCCTCCCGGACAGTGCCTTCTGAGGCAGTGCGGTCCCTACCACTGAGTTGTCATCCGTCTTGGGGTTACCACCTTCTCTTTACGGCAAGTCGGTCTGGTGACCTCTCACAGGGGGTGCAAAGGCTCCTTTTAAAATACGTTTCAGTAAAGAAAAGGCGTCAGTGTGTGGGAGACGAGTACATAGGGAAGGGCCGGTGGAATAGACATCGAATGGTGTGACGGGAAATGGGAGAGGCCTGTGCAGGAGGGGCGTTTGGGAAGCACCTCCAGCCCTGACAGCACTTGCCTGGGAGGCCAGACAGCACCCGGGTTGGTTCCCTCAAGCCCAGGCTCCAGCACCCCAAATGTGCAGGTGCAGCTGTAGCCTGAGCCCTTTTTGATTCTTGATGTGGCATTCAGGTGTGGCTTGATCCAGGATAGGCACTTGCTGGCAGGTGCCCTGTGGTGCTGGGTCTCCTGGTCCCGAGGCCCCAGGTGTGGGCCTCCTGTCAGCCTCTGCTTAGTTTGCGGGCAGTGGTGGTGCTATATGAGTGAGGCTTCCCCCACACCTGGAGGCCAGATGCTGCCCTGAAGCTCTAACCAGCTCCACCTGGCAGTTAGAGCCCCCACTTCTCAGCCGCAGAAACCGGGCCCCAGGAACTTGGCCTGCAGCAGTGTCCGCGGGGCTGGTGGGGAGCCACAGGCAGAATCCCCAGCTGCACACCCTCAGACTGGCACTTACAGCCCCCACCCACTCCTGTGTGTAAGAAGACCTGGGTTGTGGGTCAGGCTAGGTCAGGATCTGGGGGCCTGGCCTCAGGAAACTGAAGTCTCCTGGGGTCCAGATGTGCAACCCAGCTGAGGCCCCCAGGCCTCCCACATAGCCTATGGCAGCTGAACTGCCTGGCTCAAAGGGGCAGTGCTTGTCCAGGTGCTCAGTGAGGCTGTGGGAGGCTGCCCAGGACCGAGGGCACCCACCTTCATGCCCAAGCTGTCCCCATGTCCCCATGTCGCAGGGTGCAGATCCCAGGGTCTCCTACCCCATGGCCATTTTGCTATGTGTCCCCAGGCAGGCCCCTGACCTCTCTGAGCTTCCATTTCCTTAGCCTTTGAGACCTCGGGGGGGCCACAGGGGTTCCCTGAAGGGCCCTTGAAGCCTGAGCCTGCAGACGCTCCACCCTCCCTGCAGAGGGAGGTGGTCTGTGAAGTGGCCAGGGTGGTGGAGTGGATTAAATGAGATGACCCACGTGTGGACCCCAGGAGACTTCAGTTTCCTGAGGCCAGGCCCCCAGATCCTGACCTAGCCTGACCCACAGCCCAGGTCTTCTTACACACAGGAGCGGGTGGGGGCTTACCGCAGGGCACAGCAGCCCTGCAGGAGGGGGACCCTCTCGTCCCAGGGCCCCGAGCAGGGACAGAACAGCAGAAGCTCCAAGTGGCAGATTTCAACTCCATGGAAAGAGCCTGATTTAGGCTCCGCTGTGGGATGGAGGCTGTGGTATTTAGAGCTGGCTCTGTAGGTAGTGAGCTTCCCGTCACTGGAGGCATGCAAGTAGCAGTTGACTCTTCAGAGGGCAAGCTGTTGAGGGGCAGTTAATGGTTGGAAGGAGGAGCGGGTGGGCTGGGAGCTCCGTGGTTATCATCTCTGAACTCTCCAAGTGTCAAGAAAACATAAGCAGTGACGGGACAAAGCCAGGTGGCGGAGAACTGGGCGTGTCAGTGTGGTCTGAGCGGCACCTGCACCTCTCCTCTCCTCCCTCCTCTGGGGACAGTCAGCCCTTTCCAAGATGAGCGGGTGTGCGTTCCACACTCGCTCCACACACACCACTGTGCGCCTGTCCTCACGCCAGGCCCCTCGTTCCCTCCTCCCACCCTGTAGGCTGGTATTGCTGTCCTCATTTTACAGATGAGGAAACTGAGGCTCCAGGGGGTTAGAGACCAGGATCAAATAGCAAAGGGAGGACTGGAACCCAGGTCCGCCCCACCCCAGAGACCCCGCAGGCTCCCCAAGGATGGGACTGAGGGGCGGGAGACACCACGCTGGCCCAGGACCCCAATGCATCCTGCCCGGCCCTCCCCTCTGCCCGCAGCCTCCTCTCTGGGGGTTTGTCCCCCTTGGGCCTGGGGTGAGGTCAGCCTGGGGAGACTCGTACGAGGTTGGAAACCCTCTGCAGGCGGGGAGACGCTGTCCGAGGGGAGCCAGGAAGCCTGCGCCAGAGAGGCCAGCAGCCCTTGAGGCTCCTGCAGAGGAGCCCGGGGAGGAAGGAGCCGCCCGCGCTTCCCGCAGCTTTATCTCCTGCAGAATGAAATCCTTGATTAACCCTTATCTCCCCAGCGGGCGCTATCTCCGCCTTGGCGCCGAGTGTCCAGACACACCGTACAAGATGATTGATTTCTTAAAGATACGCACGCCTTCCCGATACTTCATTTATTGTCTAAATATTTTTGCTAACATTTCAGCGGGCCCCTTATCAGCCTCAGCTGATGGGTCCCAGTTCTCCTCCCCGCGCACCTCCTGCCCCAGATGGGCCTATCAGCCACCAGGCGGTTGTCTCTGCTGTTCGGAGAGGGAGGAAGGACAGGGGTGCCGAGGGGTGTGGCGCCCCTCCCTGCTGTCTCCTTAGGCCTGGTGCTTTCGGGCAGGAGGAGGGGCAGGCAGAGCTCCCCCCACAGTCTCTGCACGCATCAAAAGATGCGGGAGCCGGGGGAGCCCCAAAAAGGACACAGAGTGCACAGAACCTGGCCAGGGGTCGAGAGTCAGGTCCAGCACCATCTTGCTGGAGGATCTCAGGCAGCTTCCGCTTCTGGAAACCCAGGGCTCGGAGGCCCAGCCACCTCAAAACTTTGTAGTCAGAGACAAAAGAAATGTTTGCGATGGATGGGTGGGTGAATGGGTAGATGGATGGATGGGTGAGTGGACGGATGGATGGTGGATGGGTGGGTGAATAGATGAATGGATGGATGGATGGATGGTGGATGGGTGGGTGGGTTATGGTGGACGTGTGGGTGAATGGGTAGATGGATGGATGGATGAGTGGACGGATGGATGGTGGATGGGTGGGTGAATAGATGAATGGATGGATGGATGGATGGTGGATGGGTGGGTGGGTTATGGTGGACATGTGGATGGATGGATGGGTGAGTGGATGGGTGGGTAAATGGCTGGATGGGTGTGTGGATGGATGGGTGGATGGATGGGTGAGTGGATGGGTGGATGAACGAACAAATAAACTCTTTCACCCCCAGACTGACCCATCATGGGCTTGGCCCATCTATCTATCCAGTCGTCCCCCCAGGGCTCACCCACTTTAGACATGACGCCACTGTGACTTCAATGAGAGCCGGGAGTGGCGAGCAGGGCAGCAGGTCCAGTGGGAAAAAGCCCCCGCTCGAGAAAGAGAGATGCGCCCCTGGTCCCTGACCTGCCATGTGGTCTCATGCAGGGACCAGCATAGAGGGGCCTTTGGGTGGGCCTCCTCTGTCCTTCACCTGCAGAGGGAGTGGAGCTGGGGCCCTTGGGGCACCACGGGCTCTGAGCAGCCCTCCATGCAGGAAGCCCAACGGCTGGTATCAGGGTCATTGCCACAGCAGAGTCGGCTTCACAGCAGGGCAAGCGCTGGCTGGGGGCCTCTGGCCGGTGGGGGGCTGAGGCAGGACCCCCAGGTGCACGCCTGTTGATGTCCCCGTCTCCCTCTTTAATTCTCATTTACATCTGTTTATAATAGCTAATAGATTCCTAAGGGACACGGGACACACTGGGAAGACCCCCCTAGCCCGGCACTGAGCGGCTTCCCTGGTGACTTCTGGGATGCCGGGCCCAGTGTGGGGCGCTGCCAGGTCCTTCCGTACCCAGATGGGACTCACCGCGAGCCGCTCCACGTCCGGCTGTGCTCCCTTCCTTCTGAGGTCCACGTCAGGCATCCCTTTCCTGGGGTGTGTGGGCGCCCTGCTGCTGCCCACGGCCGTCAGCCTCGAGGCCCTCCCTGGGAAGTGGATTGGTAACGCGGCATGTGGGGAGACACCCTGACGGCAGGCGGTTCTGGCACCCTCGGGCTGGGCACCAGCTGAGCAGCATCAGGGCCCCCACCGGTCGGTCCTGCCCACGTCCCTGCCCCAGGACTGCTTCCTCCCTCAGCAGCCCCTGGGCCTGTCCACGCCCCGGGGCTCCCAGGAGCCTCGCCCAGTGGGCCCGGTAGCCCCACGGGGTCCCGTGGGAAAGGCCCTGTGCTGTGCCCCCCACCCTCCCACATAACTGTAGGGGAGCCCACGGGTCACTAGGCCCGGGGCTGGAGCTCACGCCAACTCTGCTGACCCAACTGGCCCATGGTACAGATGAGGAAACTGAGGCTCAAAGAGGGCCCAGAATGTCAGTTCCCTGTGGCTGCTGTAACAGAGCGCCTCAGCCTGGTGTCTCAAGCAGAAGTGTGTTCTCTCTCCGTTCTGGAGGCCAGAAGTAGAAGTGGAGGGGTCGCAGGGGTCCCTGAGGGAGGGCGGCTCCAGCTTC